TCACTTATAGAATTTTTAATAAAGTTTTTATATATTGTAGTGGTATGCTAGTTGTGGTGACCCAAAGCACGCGCTTCTCATGCATGTGGGCGCGGTTTCGAAATAGGACAAGTACCAATGTGTTTTATCCTATATACCTTGAGAGGCACGTATATGTGCCATCATACGTGTAATAAATTTGAAATCGCTAATATCCACCTTGCGCCAGCATCGTGGTTATAGTTCAAATTTTCTCCTTGGGATGCCTTTATTCCGCAGTGGGTACCAACCGCTTAATCATCAAAAGAAGTATCGTCCCGACCAAAACTAATTTCATAAAGTCCATTAGATCCTTATCACGCTTTGCACGTCGCATGAAACCTTTTTGCATTTTGTCAACTCAAGCTCTGCCTTTAGCCTTATTTCTGTCTATGTTTTGTTCCAGGCAAAAAGGCCAAGACCTGACACGGGCACCGATGTATCGGATCGGTAAGTTTCATTGCTAATTTTTTTACTAGCTTTTCGAAAGTGACTTCATTTGTAGAATTCCGAAGATTTCTCTCGAGATGGCGTATTAAAAATGTAGCCTATATTATTTAGTTCCCTGAATAGGTAAACTTTAATAAACTTCCATTTCTGTCCAATGCCGTATTCTGCCCGTTTATCCCCAATCGGTCATGTTTTGGGGGACAAATCGTCAAATTATCTAAGTGGGGGCGAGAGGTAGTCAGACTCTTACTGACTAAAAACTAACCTGTTTATTCTCCTGCTCTCGGCAGGGGCCGAAGAACACTATTATCCAATTTACAACTGAATACCAAAAATACGAAATAACCGCTATAGCAATTTGTACGTCTAGAGACAGTTCGTTGCAATATTATTCTTTGTAATTTGTATTTTTAGCTTTTGTCCGCGACTCCGTTCGCGTGGAATAGTGATTTCCTGCAGTTTTTTGGTATTAAAAATTTATCCTATGTTCTTTCTCGAGATCCAAACTATGTCTGTACCAAATTTCACAGAAATCCTTTCAGTAGTTAGGGCGTGAGGAAAATACAGACAGACAGAGTTACTTTCACATTTATAATATTAGTTTAGATTGTAAATAAATATATTATTTATATCTACATTGTTCCCGCCTTTTTCTAAGCTACTCCCATACCATAAGGGTGAATGTGTATTATATTAGCTAATCGAAAAACAATGACACGCCTATTTTTATTCGAGGGGTGAGCAGATAAGGCCGTCTAATGATATTTATTATTTATAATTGGAAGTTAACCTAGCCTTTTTACATTATTCGCATACTTTTATTCTCATTCTGTCTTTGTACAGATTTTCGCAAATTTTCTACCATTCATCACACGAATAAAATTACACCAAATCATTCCATTTCTGTCAATCACCCCAAATTACCCCCTTAAACTACCAAAACAGTCAACAATTTAATCAAATGCATACTACATACTAGGGTATCAGCACTCAACAGGCACTCAAATCCACTCATCTGCTACAAAATTAAAGTTTACACCAAAATAAAGGCTCGTGACCGTCACAGCTCCTCAAAACACAATGCTCAAGGGTCCTTAATCCCTCTGTAATCCTGGTATTGTAAGCGCACAATTGCCGGGAAAAGAGCTACTTAATAAAACTACTGCACGCCCCCTGTCCATATTATCACGCCGTGATCAAAGGAAGCTGGCACACAATAAGGTTTTATGTTACATGACGATTTTCTATCTTGAATAGATTTTGGATTTTTTGCAATCGCTCGGATCTGATCTGATTGTTGGATTTTTTCGGATAAGCTGATGACGATGCTAGGAGTGGTGTTTTTTTGTTTGTTTCTGAGATGATAATTGAGTTTTCATTAAGTTTCACCTAAATTGTGTTTTTGGAGAATAATAGTATAAGTCCGATGCGATGTGTTAATCTGCTAAATAACGATAAATAAACTTATAAAAAATATCAAATAATCTTTTCTGGCAGGTCTTTCCATCCTTTGCCAAACGCTAACTTTTCTCTTCAATGTTTAAAAGCAAGAAATTCTTAAAACTACAAAATTATAAATAAAATTAACAAAACAAAAAACTAGTCAAGAGCAAATAGGTTAGTTGACAATACCAAGTTACGTTTTTTTTTCTCGTGTCACCTCAACATATAATTTATTATCTTACTCGCTGACACGTTGAACAAGACAAGCTTTCCGCTTTCACAAAAAATAACATAACGATACTGGGCATTTACACAAATTAATTCTGTTAATCGAAATAATTAATCTTCATAAACCTACTGTTTATTCAAATATTATTTTATTTTAAATTTCATTCACAGAAAACCAATATTTCATCAATCCAGAATACAGAAAAAATGGCGTTTCGTAAATTCCTTTGTAGCGCGAACATTTAAAAAAAGAACTGCGTTTGGCATCTGACGCGCGCATTCCGTTTTAGGCAGCATATTAGTTAGGTTAATTAGTAGTTAACATGACATTCCTAACTTTTTAAACGTTGTTCGAAATGAGTTCAAACTAAAATAATGAATGGTAGAAAAATAATGATCTGAAGTGTGTTTTGAGCGATATAAATCAATTTTTTGACGCGATTCCGTTACGTTATGCGTTATATTTTTTTTACTTACGTCAAGCAGGATCTGAAGTATCGTATGTCTTGAGTGCCGAGTCTGTTGATGTTTTGTTGTTATTTTTTTATTTATATCCTCCCGTGCACGTAAGTACGTTCAAATATGAATGGAACTCATTCTATTTCTTTAAATGTTTTTAAAAAGATAACTTTTTTGACATTTGATTTTGACGTTCGCATTTAACTATAGGAAGCATTCTGCCTATAGTTAAAATAAAAGATTCTTAATTAATTAGTGGTAAAGCAAAAATTCCAAATATAAATTAAATTTGATTTGTATTTGCATTTCAAATTGAATGATTTAACACAGATACCTACTTGTCACAGTTCTATAAATATCATTCACTTTAAAGCACTGTTATTAAAACGTAACCCAATTTCTAGTAGCAGTAATAAATTAAAATACTTATTTTTAACCCTTACATTACTCATTCGAGACATCTGTAAGTTTTTTTCGTGACAAAAAAATTTGGCAGATGACAAAAAAAAGCAATTAATAGATTTTTAACGCTAAGTTGACACGTGGCGACCAAATGGCGGGAAGGGCCACCGATTTCGGGTGATCCTTAGTGATTACAATGATTGTTTTGGTTCTTAAAATGCGCTTAAATCTGGAAAGGACAAGTAAAAGTGTGTGATAAACTTGTCGATGTCTAGTGGCTTAGGTACAGCCAGCTTTGTCTTCTCTTTTTGATTCTCCATAACACTCCACTGAGCCTCGTGGTGTAGGATACTCCTACTGGAACGGAGATAATTACACAAAGTGGTTAATCTTCAGCTCTTTTAGCAACCACCTTGCAGATATCGTCACATAGTCTACACGACGAAAAATTAGTATAATTATTAAAATATTGAAGTGGGTACTTGCGACCTTTGATCATTGTTTACTTGATTTTCATCTTAATTACCTATTTTCAATAGAGTCGAAAATGTTTTGATGAAAATATTTTGATGTTCCGTCGGTACTAGGGCACCATCAGAAACAAAGAGTCTCTTCACGAAGTGTGCCGTATTTTGTTCCTGTCAAAGGGCACTGAGGGTTTATTGTTTCGCTCTTAAAGTAAAGTTTATGCTTTAGAATTTGTTATTACACTATATAAACACGTGCCTTTTTAATTTAGTGTGCAGTTGTATTGTACAGACTTTTATTGTTATTGTTATGTGGGTTTTATTTGGTATGAGCTGTGAAATTCAAGGAAAGGCTATTTTGCTCTTTGTATCATTCATGCTATCTATAGCTAAATTATTTTAAAACCATTCAGGAGCAGTAGCGTGGTAGTAAGGACATAGAATTAATAATTTTGGAATAAGACGATTTCTTGCAGCCTTACTTTAGTCGACAAGATACGTCGTAAGTCGATAATTTAAACAAAAAAATGGCGCCGTGTATTAGCTAAGATGAAGATATAAAAAAAGTAAACAATTAATCAAACCTCCGCAAAACTTTCGAAAATTCAAAATCAATGTAGAATCCATTCCACAAATCAAAGACAACATCTTAATCGGCGAGGCCGCATATTTCAAAAGCCAATTCACCCGGAACATAAAACTAAAAATGTGACAACTATCTTCGCGCCATATGGAATGTCAAGCATGGCGGACTATTAAAACGTTTGAAGTCTTTTGTTGGACTAAATTAACGACATTTTACGATGACTACCGCGAGTAAAAAGTAAAAAGAATCCATTGAAAAAGCGCCGAAAACATAAAAAAAGCTTTCAATTAAAAAGATAGTGACAATGCTAAACATTAACTGTAAAATTCCGGCGTTTGATATATGATAGTGTTGTTCCGATCGCCGAAGTGAAGCAAAGTGACACTTGAAAAAGGCGCGAACTAATATAAACAAGAGCCATTTTTTAGACAAAGGCACACCGGTGTTCAGCCTCTTGATTTTATAAATACTGTATTATTTACTGTTCATAATTATTACTGGTCCAGTTTTATTTATGTTATAGAAATAAATCAGATTGACGAAAGACTTTGATGTAACCGAATCTCGATTCTTATGTTCTTTCGAATACGATTAATCTTATGTTTGGTATCGAGTTCGGAAATTATATTTATAGCTTAGAACGGAAGCCTTGATAATTGATATTATTACGTATTGAATAACAAATATTTTTGCATTTTATTTGATAGAAAATATTTAGGCACATGCTTCAACTTGCTTCAATGTATCTGTCCCACTAATTGGTAAATGTGATTTTAATATAGCACATATCATTGAATAACAATATTTTAATCCATTGGTAATTTCATATTATTTTAATCAAGCTTTCCGACAAATTCTTGCGAAAGAGGGACGTTGGTCTAAAGAAATAATTACAAAATCGATAGTGATTATTTCACCAAACTTTACCTATCAATTCCGTCGAGGCCATGGTGCGGACCGAGAGAAACTGGGACGCCGTCTCCTCCTTCTGTGAAGCAGTTATGCTCGCAAAGAGGGAGGCGGCCGGAGCAATCCTCCTCCTCACGCCCCAGCCACTGCAACAGGCGAGGCTACGGGCGTCGGGGATCAATCAAAGGACGATCTCCGGCCACCTTAAGCGCGGGTCTGCGGTCGCAGAACCAGGCCCGAGAGTACGGCGCGTAGCGTTCCGCGCGCGCCTCAAAGAGCCAATAGACCACCACAGATGGGTCCCTGTAGGGCTGATGTTCAGCTGTGGTTGCGGGGTAAGCGCAATGAGGCACCACGGCCCAGAGCATGAGAAGGAACAGGGGGTTTTTAGTCAGTAAGAGTCTGACACTTCCTCCCGCCCGGCCCTGGGCGGGAGAAGTCATTTGAGGATATTCCCCTCACAAAAAAAAACCTATCAATTCCGATATAAATTTGTGAATTGGTCATAGAACATCATTATTACAAATACTTAGACAGAATATAAAACAAAATCTAGATGTTATAGACAATACTGTAAAATCGTTTTGTAAAATGTAACTGTTGCCGGTCTAAAAGTGTAATTACTGTCCAACAGTAATAAAACGATGTTTAATTGTGCGCATAATATATTAAACATGCATCGCTTAAAGTCTATTGCACGGCGTTCATTGTTAATATAACTATAATGAAAATAATATATGTAGGTAAGTACTACTTTACTAACTTTGGCTAATAGATTTATTAATTGATCTGTTTAATGTCGGTACTTAGGTATGTATAAGATACAGTAATAAATACATTGTGTCTCGCGTCTTAACCACATGAAAGGTTAATTGTGAACACATTCGTTGCATACAGAATATAATCAGGTGAGGAGTGTTAATAATAAGTACTTTTTTGTAAGGGGACAATCATCAGATTGAGGCAAAGAGGTGTCAGACTATTACTTACAAAACCCCTCCGTTCCTCCTCCTGCTTTAGGCCAAGGCCGCGTCATCATATTCCTTCCACCTGTTAACATTCAACTAAAATAGGTAGCAATAAGAGCTATTAGAATTTGAAAATGTATAGTACCTACACCCGTTGTCTCTAGCCGGGGTTGCGAGGTAAGCGCAATGAGACACCGTGGCCTCGGCCTAGAGCAGGAGAAGGAATGGGGAGTTTTTAGTCAGTAAGAGTCTGACATTTCCTCTCGCCCCACTATGGGCGGGAGAAGTCATTTGATGATTTCCCCCTAACGTCCCATTTGAACGTAAGATTCACAGATTGCCCACATAGATATGTCCTTCAGCACTACCACATACACATCACCTGCACAGCACACTATTATGAAATAGGTCACAGTGATCGAAATCTAGTCTAGAACTCTAGGCAGACCGTAAAACTAGAACCAACTCCATAAATTACGGCCCCCCATTGATCCGAAAAGTTACCAAGTTTTTTTTTATTTTAACTAGCCAGTCACATCATGTCATATTTGTGACATAATTAGAATTATATGTAGGTATATGCTAATATGCATATAGAAATTAAACAGGTGTTATGCTAAAAAGCGCTATTAACATAGTTTTGTCTTTATTATTACGTTCATAAAGTATTTTATTGCTCAAAACGTGCTTGGGTGTGGTTATAATGCTATGAATAGCTGTTGTTTCATCGTTTATTAATGAATTAATGTACTGTTAGATCGATAATGGGGTTCTTCAATTATAAATATATTGCCTTTAATAAGAACACCGTAAACTATAAAGTTTAAACACACAAGACAAGTTCCTAGTTAACCTAACCTAAGGCTGATTTTTCAATGGTTAGATAAAAATTATCTAGGGTATAAATATAATGCTGTCGCGTCAGAATGTTTGAATAAGACAGTGACAGCAACAATTTTATTCCACAGATAACATTTATCTGGCTATTGAAAAATCAGCCCCTAATAAGCCCTTAAATTATGTTCTTATACTTTTACAAGACTGGCCACTTATAAAATCTCGGTATATCGCTATGTGTTCTCTGTCGCCTATATCACGGAGAGTGTTCTAAGGAATTGTTCAGTTTGATCCCTGACGCATCTTTTCGCCATCGACCTACTCAAAAATACTTTTATTTCGATTAGATATATAGATAAATAGTTGGCAGTTAAGAACTGTAATTTTTGCTTGCTTTATAATTCACACAGCAAAACTTTGTAATGATCTACCGTGTGCAGTATTACTGAACCGATACGACCTACAAACCTTCAAGAATCGCGCATACACCTTCCTAAAAGGCCGGCAACGCAACTGTGACTCCTGTGGTTTTGCAGAGCGGCGCTGATCTCATACCATCAGATGACCAGTCCGCTCGTTTGCCTCCTGTCACAAAAAAAAAGTATCTACCAAAAGCATTCTTGATTCAATCGTTTTAAACATGTAAAGAAACTTGACGAGAAATTTTATTTTATATTATTTTAATCAAAATTTATGATCGCATAAAAATGTTTAGTTAACATACTTATAATAGACATAATTTATTTTATTAATTTTTATATTTCAATAACTATGTCATAACATTTAAAAGAAAACATTTATAACAGACGCTAACTATATTTATTAATTTTATTATTATTTTACATCTCCAAATTAGCATAAACCAAACACAAGCAAAAAGTTTGACGTCATGGCTGTCACAATGACAGCGCGGGAATTTGATTAAATAATGGCGGACGGAAGGGCTGCGTTCACAAACTGTGATAAGGGACTTAATTAATCGGAACACGTGTAAACATTTTGTTTGATAATTTCATCGTCCCGAGAGATAGGGGGCCAGCTCTGTGGCATCTGTTATACGATTCTGGTGATTTGTTTTAATGATACTAATTTAGTATAAACAGCTTGTGATTTCGTTTGTTTTAACACGCTCTTAATTGGGGCAATATGTTCTGTTTATTAATGTGTCATGTCATGATTATTATAGTACGTTGTCAAGCGTTGATAATGGAATAATTTGAATGTACAATATTTTTATGTTTGTTCGTAATACATTAACTTGCAAAGCAAATGAGGGTACTTTGGTGTTACTTTTTGTATTTAAATCTTTGATGCCCACTAAGTTGTCTTAATTCAAAGTGAAATGTTTCTTGCTCAACAATAGGTACCAAGATAACAAAACGAGCTTAAGATAAGTAAAACGAGCTTTTCCTTAGTAGATGTTGGGACATAGAGACCATTTACCCACTTACAAAACAATTCCATGGAAATTTTTGGTCATCCTCGCTTGAAAGACTTGAAAGAAAGCATTTAATGTGAATTGAAACCACTTCAGACAAGCCACAAAATGCTTTGAATGGCTTGCTGTCTCTGTTCTAAATAGTCTAATTAAATAATGTGTCGTCACTAGGGTTCTTTGAAATAATTTAAACACTTCATTTTCGAAGGAAACTTACTGAAGTAGCTTTGTTGTAGAAATATTCTCGATGAACCGCCTTTTGAAAAAAACCATCAAACCAAACCAAATTATAAGCAATATTTTTTTATTTGCGGAAACAGATTGAATAAGACCCAATTTAATGGTTCACTTCGGTTAAATCAGCAATCAATATTAATTGGTTCTGAATTATCCTCAAATGAAGACATCAGGATTTTGTTTACTAAGGCATCATGGAAGGGAAGAGGTTTTATGGATTTTTTACGCTATTTGTTATTGTAGCCCGCGGCCGTATTTTAAGATACGTTTAAAAAGCTGTTATTTTGTAAACAAGTGCGCGTTAATTGCCAGCTTAACAGTTTCTTGGATAAACAAACTTAAGGACAACTGTGACGGATTGGACGTTTTTTTTTTGTCCTTCCGAATTCTAGGATCTTTTGGGATTTCTATCTTATAACCCTTAAAAAAAATATTCATCTATTTCAACTTCCCTTTATCTCTTTCAGACTATCTGGCGAAGTCAACACAAGCCCCTGCGAATCAGAATCAACATCAAACTCTCCACCGTCGCTGCTACAGGATGCGACATTGCCAGCTCTCTTAGTTTCTGGAGCATCCACGTTATTCCAGAACACAACCACGACCACCAACACAGCGTTGAGTTTATCAGCTGTTGACAGCTTATGCTTGCCTGGTACCACAGAGGTCGAAAGCTGTAGTTTGGCGAACGGATGCTCAACGAGTTCATCGCTCGGACTGGCTTTGCCGTTGACGTCGACCGGAGGACTTTGTTCGACCTCCTCGTCGGCTGCGGTCGCCTGGTTGATGAATGAAGATAGTGCGGGTAGGTATCCTGTAGAATGAAGTATATTATTATATATAGTTTAAAACAGGGAATTTAGGGACGGATATGTATTATCTTTTCCTTTAACTTAAATACTAAAAAGCCTTAAAACAATTCCCTATATGTTTTAGCTTTATTTATTTTTGTGTTATAAATTTATCAATAGTGCATTATATGGCAGGTGGTGTAAAGAGCGAGGTCCGTAGCCCGGGCCTTTGCGAAGCAGACGTGGCGCTGTACGGCGAAACGCTGCCGTACGACCAGTCCACGCTGCCCTACCAGTATTATAATAGGTAAGATTTTACACAGTTCCTAGGTTCGCCAAGCTTCGGAACAAATGGGTCGGCTCGACCGGACTGATTCCACGGCCTCATAGAAAACCGGCGTAAAACAACCACAGTGTTGTGTTTCGCCGTGTGAGTGAAGTTACCGGAGTCCCAATCCCTCCTCCTCCCCCAACCCTTCCCAATCCTTAAATATCCGAAACCCTTATCCCTAAAAGGCCGGTTACGCACTCGTAACTCCTTTGGTTTTGCCCATGGTCGGCGCCGATTGCTTGCCATCAAGTAATCAGCCTGCATGCTCGTTTGCCGACCTATCATATCAAAAAAAAAACTTTTCTCCTCACATGTCTTCCTAGTACTTGTGCCACTCAAGTATGAACGAACATGAGTAATTTTAGCTTTTTAGTTTCAAGCAAGTACTAGGCGACTATAAATGAAAAGAGAACAACGAACCCCTATAATCGGTCACGATGACGGATGGTCTGTACTTACATCGTAAACATCAAACAAGACTACAAACTATAGGGATTTAGGGAAGCTACAAAAGTGTCTGAATTTCATAAATTCCTCATACATGTAGGTAGGTAAGCGGTCATTGACGTCCGTTTTACGTAAGTCTTATCCTGTTTTATTTTATTAATCAAAAGGAATTATTCATTAATAGAGGTTACATAGTTAAGGAAGGTACTTTAACGAACCTTAAGCCTACGGAGCTTAGCAAGTACCTAGATACAGTAGATACTAATGTGCGAAGTACTTACTAAAGTAATTAATTCTAATAAGATATTTTGTATGTACTTGAAAAATCTAATTAGAATTAGAATTTCAATCACTTTGATCGTATAAAAAAATCTTGATCAGGTGTATATTCGAGGTATTTTGACAACTATTTGCATCTGCCCGCCCGCTGACCCGCCATCTGGATTCTGGGTACGCGTTTGGTTTAAAATTTCCACAGAACAGAAATTTCGTTTCGCAAAGTTCTTCCTTAACATAGAGACTGCTTACGCCATCTATCGCGTAATAGCAGAACTGACAGTATGCAGTAGTGTTAAAGTGATCCGCTAGGAGCGTTGTTATTTGATTACATATTTACAAAATGTAATTTCTTTTCGATTCTACCTACCTATATTTTTAATATAGATACACATTTATTTTTGTTCGTAATAAAATATTTTTATTCCGTTGGCACAGCATGCAGCAATATGGTAGCGGCAGCGCGGCCTCGTCGTACGTCAGCTCGTCGCTGTACAACCAGCCTTACGGCGCGTACCCACCACAACACAACACTACCAACAGGTATGGAAACGTAACGACACGCCACGCTACACAAGTGGCAACCACAGTTACTAGGCTCTCATAGACATAGATGGTTCGTATTATTAAAAGTATATCTTTCTTAGGTCATCATGCAAAGCGACGCCGACGTATTTGAGTGCTTACGGCGTGAGTGGAGTCAGTGGAGTGCCTAGCACTGGCTTTGGTACGCAGCCATCACCTTACGCCTATTCTTCGTACAATGGGGGATTGGCGCAATCTTTTCCTACCGCACAACAGGTAAAGAAATAGACATACTTACTTTAAAAAATATTTAATTTTAAAGAAAACTTCAATTGTTATAAAAAATGTATTGACTACATTTTTTAGATAAATACCGTAAAATGGGGTGAAGCGGGTCCTAGGGGTGAACAGAATCATGTTGTCGAATTTTGTTCACGTTCATTTTCTGGCTCTAAAACTTAGTTTATTTGTGGTCAGGTAACTAACTTGAGCAAAGAAGGTTTTGAATTTTTATGAAATAGCAACACACGATTCACAGACAAAGTAGAATGGAAGAAAAAACGGTTTACAAAAACCTACTTCAAAACACTCGTATTTTGGTCGCGCGCAATTTAAGTTTTTGTTTTGTTTCTGTGATTTTTCGCCGATATAACCCGGTTCTAAGCAAACCTTGTCTCTTTGGTTATTGTAAAAACGCGTAGGTGAGTGAATTTGTGTATTATTTTCTTGCATAATTGGAGAAAAACTTATTTAAGGCAATTACTTAGATTTTTGGGGTTATCAGGGTCACCTGAGGGGTGAAGCGGGTCATAGAAAGGGGGCAACAGAATCACTTGTGGGGCTAACAGACTCAAGAATGGGGTGTACAGGGTCAAGAAAGGGGTGAAGGGGTTTATTTTAATCAGGGCTGTCGACACGTTTAATGCTAACTATCCAAGGTTTTATTTTATTTTATTTTTGATTTTGTTTTATTGTTGTAACTTTTTGGGTCCTTTCCTAGGTCATCAATAAAATAATAATATGTTTTTTATTTTTACCTACTTTATTTTAAAATTTAATGAAAATCAAATAATAAATTAAATATTTATATTATATACATATTACAATATTATCCTAGTGAGTTAGCACACGTGCTCAAATAGGTACCTATATATTTACGAAATATATTTTATTTGTCTACAGATATGCCTAGAAATTATCGACCCAAACCATGAGCGAAATCTCTTAAAAAACATGACATAGCTATAATGAATCAAGCTTTACTAGACATATCAGCTGGAAACACATCGATACGACGTGTTGCTGAGAAATATGGAATTTCATATTCAGTTTTACAGAGACGCATTAAGAAATCAGTGAACCCCATGGTGGCCAAACGGCAATGACGCCAGAGGCCGAGGCTTTTATTGTAAAAAAGAAAAATATTTGATTTTTTATTTAGGTGTAAAAAATATGTTAACTACCTAACTGCAAAGATTAAAGACTGGTTAAATATGAAACAGTTTTTTTGACAACCCTAGCCTAAAACCCTCTTCACCCCAGTGTTGAGTCTGTTCACCCCGTGCCCGGGGTGAACCGGGTTTGACCAGTTTTTTACGATTTTCTCTGATTTTTGTTAATAAAACATTATAACTATGTATTTTTAAATAAAGTTTAGAGTCTCGGAACATTAAAAAAATACCTTTAATCTTATTTTGTCAAGTGCTCATATACTAAAATTGTAAAGAAAGTTCAAAAGTGACCCGCTTCACCCCATTTTACGGTATTCAGCTTTCAAATAAAATGAAATATTATTTTTAGGACTACAGCAGTTATGCGGCAGGATACGCGGACCACAATGTGGCCCAATACAGCGGATACTACGCTACACCTAGTTATTCTCCTTACGTCAGCTCGCCAAGCAGCAGCGGCAGTGCGGGGCACACTTCATATCATTTAGGAGGAGCTTTATCAGGTAAATTACAAAAAAAGTATAAATTCTATACACATCTCGAAATATTTCTTGTTCAATTCTGAACGAACATCAATTCTTAATTTCTGAACGAAATGAAATGTCAAATGTTACCAACTTAATCTCAAACCATTGTATTAAGGAAGTTTTCGATCATGTAAATTATGTAAATTGAGGATCCAAATCTTATTTTTGGGTTCTTTTTATAAGCTTTCTAATGAACTGAACATCGTAAATAAATAATTTAACTCTGTATTTCATTATTCACCCATTTAAACAACTACAAAATGTATAAATACATAAAATAAAGCAGTAATTGTCTGCTATCCATTTGAAATTTTACCAAAGTAATAGTAAGTAATAAATAAGCACTACTTTTAATGTAGGACTTTTGAATTTAAGCGTAGCAACCCAACATGACAACGTCAAACTTCCAAGTTTGACATTCTGACTGTCATTGACAAAATAAATTAATCACAATCACAAGACTTGTTGCTGTTACCTCAGTTAAAATGTTTACAAAGTAATGTTTTTAAAACAAATGCCTTATATTACAACAAAATAGATTAAACAATCTCATGTGTTCATATCAATCCGTCGTTAATAAAGACTGAAGATTCATTCCGTAAACAAAAATCAGGGTTTTTGGTGCTCAAAATAATGAATAAGGAGAACGAAAATTTTCACAATAATAAGCGAAGGAAACTAGATGAAGATGCCTCGGAATCGCGTTACGATGATTCGGATTACTGGCCAGATACAGATAGTGACGATGGTACGAGTATTTGAACTTTTAAATTAAGAACTGTGCTCGTTCGAAAAAGTTTTGAATTTAGTTCTCCGAAGTTATAGTTTTTCACTTTTGACCTAAAAGAATTGATGAACGATTGCACTAATTTTTGTAATTTAACTATTTTAATAGAATAATAATTTTAGTAAGTATAATTAATTACTAAACTCACAAGTTTTTATGTGCAATAAAGTAGTAAGTAGTTATCATCTCTAGCTCCAGTGAATAAACTTTAAGAAGTCATTTAAAGTACAATTTATTTAATAGAAATAAATAAATAGGTAAAATTAAACAACATTGTGAAAAAAAAACTGCTATTAGAAAATAATGTAATGACTGTATTAACTCCTAAACTTGTCCTTTATACAGAATCTCCATCATCAATGCTGCCATCAATAAATGACACAAGTCCCCTGTCACCAATCAAAACAGAAGTACATGCAGCTAGCCGAAGATGTAGAGAGAATTCAGGGTAAGTAATATTGATCAAAAATAATGAATTTATTTGAAATAATCCTATAAAAACCCCTTTAAAATGTGACAGTTGAATTGTCAATCAAAAAAGTTAAGTATTTGTTCCAATAATTTAAATATCTGCTGTTGAAAATCATCAAATCGTCCATCAGTAACACAAATAGTAATTAATATTATTTACATACAACAAAGTAAGAGCTGAACCAACTTCTCATGAATGGATTTTTTTTTTTATTTATAAATTAAACCTGTGTATGTGCTATCACCCCAAGGTAGGTAACCTTGGGGTGATAGCAACTTTCCAATGATGAATAAATATTTAACATTGGAACCTTGATTTTATTTGACTGTATTTGAGTTTATGTATAAAAACCATAATCTAACAAAACTTTTTTTATCCTTTTTATAATATTTGTGTAGACTAATAACCTCTTTGCTTCCTATAAGAACCTTTTTTTAATGAACATAAAAAAATCTCTTTTTTTATTACCAACATCCTTTAACTTATAAACTCTTCCAACCCCCAGGGAAAGCACAGCATCTCGATCCCGAGGTCGTGGCAGGCGCAATACTTCCTCGTCTCCCGCACAGCATGTACCAGAGCCAGCTACTGACAGAGTCTTCATCTGGGACCTAGACGAGACTATCATCATTTTCCATTCACTTCTCACCGGGACTTACGCAACTAAGTACAATAAGGTATTTTATTTTTGGAAGTATTTTTTTCTGCTTTCCCTTTCTTAGTGCCCTCTTGTATTTCAAGAGGGAGTTCATGCAAGTATTTTTTCGACTTAAATGGACTTTTTAAGTTTATTTAGACATCCATCACTGATGAACATAAAAGGAAAATGTCGTGAAAAATTACGATTTTCAATTACATTTTAGTTTGAAATTGCCAATCAATGTTGTGCATTAATTTTGTTGGTAAATAATGCCCAAGCTTCTTCTGTGAGAAGAGGCCTTTGCTCATTAGTGGGCACTTATTGGCTGATGATGGGGTGGTTTCTTTTGCGTACTAGTTTCTCATTATTGATTTTTGTCTACAGGACACGCAACAAATAGTTCAATTGGGATTTAGGATGGAAGAGATGATTTTTAGCTTAGCAGATACACACTTCTTCTTCAATGATGTTGAGGTAATATTTTTTTATTGACTTATAGCGCCTGCTATGCCAAGACGTTCTAATGAATTGTCAAGGTCAGCCAAATATTAGTATTTCCAAACTCCGATTACTGAGAATTTTGTACACACATTGTTAACTAAAATTATCCTACCATACAGTCTTTGTATAGTAAATTAACGTGTATTAAATAATGTATTCGTGACCTTATAAGACATATAATAATACTAGCTTGTGGTGGCGACTTTGTTTGCGTGAAATAGTGATTTCCTGCAGATTTTTGGTTTAAAAACTGTCCTATGTCCTTTCTCGAGTTCCAAACTATGTCTGTACCAAATTTCACAGAAATAAGTTTAATATTAGATTGGATAGTTTAGATTTTTTTAAAGAGTAACTATGCAGTTTCATATTCTATACTTTGGAAACCTGTTTATGGTGAAGTTGGAATAAATGATTTTTACTTTGATAAAATATATAGACATAAATAATAAAAATAAAACATAAATTATAGGGCGTTTACAAATGGAAAATATGATTTGTTAAAAGGAAATAAATATCTCAATAATCTCTTCTCTCATCAGGATTGTGACCAGGAGCACATAGATGCAGTGGCGGCCGACGATAACGGACAAGATCTCTCAGCGTATAACTTCGCGGCAGACGGGTTCCACGCCGGCGCCGCACCTAACACGGGCTTATGTGCGCCTGGTGTACGGGGCGGCGTAGACTGGATGAGGAAACTCGCTTTCAGATACAGAAAAATTAAGGATACATACAATAATTATAGAAATAGGTGAGTAGAAGAAAAAGTTAGCTATTTTATGTCATACTTACTACTCTCGCGCGGTTTCACCCGCTGCTCAACTACATTTGATCGTAGCGTGATGTTTTATAGCCTAGCACTCAGAAACATTGTAGCTATATCAGTGAAAGAATTTTGGCAATCCGACCAGCGGTTCCAAAGATTATCCCCTACATACAAACTTACAAATTTTACCTCTTTATAATATTAGTATATAATGTATAGATAGGTCAGCAAATGAACATATCTACTGATTATTTGATGGTAACCAATCAACGCCGCCCATGGCCATTAGCAATCCCAAATTAGTTACAACAATTGTTTTGTTAATCTCTTGTGGACTTAAGAATATGGGATTTGAGGATTGAAAATGGGGGGGGGGGAGGGGAGGGAAGGATTGGGCCTCCGGTTACCTCACTCATAAGGCGAAACACGTAACTGTTGCTTCAACCCGGTTTTGTATAAGGCCATCTGTATCACAATGTATTACGTGGTATCTAGTAGAGCCGGCCCATTCGTAACGAAGAAGTTGAGTTCTTCCACACTTTCAAAAAAAAATAGTTTTTAATAATTAAAAAAATTGTGTAAATACGTGTTATAAGTTTGTATGTTAAATTTGTTTTTATATTTCCAGTGTTGGTGGTCTGCTGGGCCCAGCTAAACGGGAGCAATGGTTGCAACTACGCGCCGAGCTAGAACAGGCGACGGACAACTGGCTCACACTCGCCTGCAAGTGTCTCAATATGATTAACTCTAGGTATATTACTCTTTCATATTTTTTTTATGTAATAAGTCGGCAAACGAGCGGGCTGACCTAATGCTAAGCAATCAGCGCTGCCCATGGACACCCGCAGCAAGGGAGAAGCTACGAGGGCGTTGCCGACCATTTGGATAAGGAATTCGGATATTTAACGGTTGGGAAGGGCGAAACACAACGCTTCGGTTGTTTCACGCCGGTTTTCTGTGAGGCCGTTGTATTACTCCGGTTGAGCCGACCCATTCGTGCCGAAGCTTGGCTCTTCCACACTTAATTTTTATTCAGTTATTAGTAGACAATAGGACTTTGAACGTACAATGGACATGCGCCATGTTGCGAGCTCGATTCGCGACAGACAATTGTATGTGATCCACAAATTGTTGTTACGGGTCTGGGTGTAATGTGTATGTTTGTAAATATGTACATTCAAGACACAGGAGATAATTCCATGGTCGTAACACACTTCCGTACACTAGAAATACATATATAGAAACCGACTATTGAAATATATTTAGTGTAAAAGGCTATATGCCCCATTCTCAATCGCCAAATCCCTAACAAAACGCAAAAGGGCGCCAACGTACTTGTAATTGTAACTCTTTCAATGTTACCGAGTGTTCATGGACGGCGCCGATTGCGCCAAGCGATACGTCTGCTCGTTTGCCAGCGGGTCCCATAAAAAACATTGGCACTCGTAATTATTGTTTTGTTTAGGTGATAGAAAATTTAATTATTGTTCTACTTATACTCAAAACATACATACATATATACAGTTGGTTAGACAGTTCTATTTCGAAAATAGTCAAATAAAGTCTTAATATACATTTATTTTTATTTGCAGAGAGAACTGCGTAAACGTGTTGGTGACGACGACACAGCTAGTACCAGCGCTGGCGAAAGTTCTATTGTTCGGCCTGGGAGGAGTCTTCCCCATAGAAAACATATACTCCGCTACTAAAACCGGTAAGTTATAACTTCACGCTTCAAAGAATAATTGGTTACTTTCCTAGGTCAAAAACAAATTAATTCGATGTTTCAATACAATACAATATTGAAAAGTAACTATACTTTTATTCACCGATCAGTCAATACATTCAATACACTTTCGATAGTTTTAGCTAAGTACTTGTTAAGAAATAAGAAAGCTATTTGACGCATAAATACTACCATAAACTGAAATTTGGAAAAAGTATTGAATTTTACTAGTTGGAAACTACCGTATTATGAAATAATGTTCAATATTGTTAAGGAAATTAAAAAAAAAACTAATTGAAATTTTCAGGCAAAGAGACTTGCTTCGAAAAAATAAAGCAGCGGTTCGGAGAAAGATGTACGTACGTCGTTATCGGTGACGGGCAAGATGAGGAGGCTGCCGCCAAAGCAAAGAACTACCCATTCTGGAGGATATCCAGCCACTCAGACATCGCGGCCCTCTACAACGCGCTAGACATGGGCTTCTTATGATCTACTGGTACCCTGGTACTCGGGCTATACAAAACAGTTACTTTTGCAACATTTTCAAACAGGAAAGACATTATTTTTGCTATTTTCAGAGAGATATTAATTATTTTATTGATATTATTATCCATTTTGCCGATTGAAAATGAAATAGAAAGTTATATTTAGTGTAAATATTTATTTAGTACTAGCAGAAGTTTTGTTTACATTTTTGTACAAAAGTTCAACTTCCTATTGTCTGATGCTGTCCTAGTACTACACGGATAAAACTTGTTTTTTCTTATATTTGGTCACTGGGCAAGAAGTTATTAAAAATAAACAGAAAAATAATTTAATAACGCCAAATATTCAAAAAAAAAAACCGAAAAATTCGTCAAAATGATTGCAGAGCTTCCTTTCAAAAGCCAAATTTTTGATACTAAAACACTGTTCAAAATATCGATTTATTTTATAGACCTCTATTGAATGTTTGAGCCAAAGTTTAGTGGTTTTCAGAAGAGAAAAAAACTTAGTTTTCTGATATTTGTCATAAAGTTTGATACCTAGGTATCAATTGTACCTAAAAATGGCCTACCTATGCAACAATCAGCTTTCAGATTATCTTGGAAAATATGGAAAAATATTTTATTACTTTGTTGATCAAAAACTAAGATCTGAGTTCAAAAATATACTTCGGTAGCTTTCTCAGACATGTACAAAAAATATGGAGATCTTAAAAAAAAACGGATGTCGATTTTAATATAAGTTAGAAACAATTAATAGCTTATTATCAACTAAATATTTTTATTTATATCATAATTACAGGTTGATAAATTTATTTTTTTAGTTCCATACATTTTATAGTGATTTTGTAGCTCTTTGTGGTTAACTTGTTCAGGTTACTAGAAACTCAAATTTAGCTTTGGGTCTAATGCGCAAAAAAATATTTATTATTGTGTAAGCTATCACCCTATATTTCAGTGTTGCCATCACACAATTGAAAAAGTTGATGAGATTTGTGTTCTAAATATAAATCGTACAGGCTACAAAAACCTTCCACAAAATTTCTATAAAATGTATGTTTGTCAGTTAGTCAGTAATATTTCTCGGCTCCATAAAAAGTACATTATCATTAAAAACATTAGTTCGGAGCTATTTAAATATATTAATTATTTTAGTTTATAAAAGCTCAAAGTCAGCTCAAAATCTAATGAAACTAAAAGAAATAATGTTTTTTGTAAATATTTATTGAAAATAGTAGTGTCATAGAGTTTTGTAAGTCCATTCCTACTATAAGTTTTATATAATCTTTACTATGTACAGAAAATTGAGCAAATTTTTAGGGCAATGTATAGTGAATAAAATTATCTTATTGATTTCCGTTTCCGGACGTTCTAAAAAGGCTTGCTGTGTCTAAAGCAAGTAAAAGTATAAATGCGTATTCCTTTTTAATTCACTTTGTAAACTGCCAACTTTTTTGAGCAATGATGTTTGACCTTTGTTGAGAATGTTACGCATAAACACTTGGTGCCTGCGATTCTTTCTCAAGAGCAGAATGAGCAGCTCAAAAGTGTAGACCGTTTTTAAATATTTATACAGAATGGGAAATCATCATGACTGTTTCGTAAAGATATTTTTTTTATAGCCTATCGTGTGTCCCACTGCTGGGCAAAGGCCTCCCCTTTTTCCTTCCAAATTTCTCTAGACAAAAAAAAATTATAAAGTGAATTAAAAAAATATCTAAACTACGACTAAATTAAGAACTCCTCCACGTTTGTTTAAAGAAACTGTTCCTCTTACTGTAAGCACAACTATTTAATATGTATTTTGAAACAGCCACGAAATCTCTGTATGTATGCTAAATGTACAACTAAATGCCAAGACTTCATTTTACGAGAAACTTAGCAATATTTTTGAATGTTATTGAAGAAAATAGACGAAATTGTAAATAGAAATCTAAATTTTAGATTTAAAATAGCGTATTAATCTAGTTCGAAAGTTATTATTATTCAATTTGTAAATAAAATTATATTATTTGACAATTTATTTGTGTTGTTATATTTTTTTCTTGAGTTCCCCTTACATAATATAGGTATCCAGATACGAAACAAAGTAATGAAAGCATTATTTTATTTGTTGTCAATTAGAGAGAAATGCGAAAACGGTGTTTAGTCTGCCACTACCTTTCGCCAAAAATGATTGATGTTTTTCTCCCTAAAAAAAGCAACAAAAAAAATAAAATAATGCTCGCTTAATAAATCAGAGAAAATAAAATAATAAATACATTATTATTTTATTTTATACCAATATAGCAGATATTGGTACAAAATAATTGGGGACTAATAATATAACAGTCGGGCATTTTATGGCTAACAAGATGAATGATGAAATGATATACTAGGACTTTATTTTTAACTAAAATTCACGGGTTACTCACGTGTATAATATTGAGAAAATCTCTTTATAGTTTCGTAATTTATTATGTCTGACGATAGTTTATTACAAAGACTTTATTTTCATTTAGTGGCAACTCTACAGAACTGTCAATCCGTTGCTTAGCAACGGCAAACATTACGATTTGTAAACAAAACACAGAAGTGAGTGTCGGCGTAATAAAAAAAATATGTTTAATACAAAATGAAGGCAATCGATACAATATTGTTTGATGTGTCTAAAAATGAATTGTTCAAGATTAACGAGAACTATAAGATGCTGCATAGAAAACTGAAGACAACGTGGAAAGTTATGATGTGGGTTCTAATTTTTGCTATTTAATTTAAATCTATTGAATTTAGATCTACTAATGGGAAACTAAGTTAGTAAATTCATTCATTCCCCGTTAAGTAGAGTATTGGTAGTTTAATATTGCCATTGAGTTAAGCTACCATTGCCATGGCCTCATTATGGATGGGTGACCATTATTTGTAACACATACCTAATATAGTTTTACAGTTGCTATGATTCGTTAACTGGATTAAAATACTAGATTTAAGCTCTACATTTCCTCTATAACTATGATCTAGGTATTTGAATATCGACTTCAGATGTCTGTCTTTTATAAAGATATTTATTAGAATACAATTTCGGCCTACAGGCCAGTTCTCAGTTCTCCATCAACTAGAGCTACAGGGAATCAATTTTTTTTTTTTGTTTTTCTATGACATAATAATTATCTTCGAGTCTCAGAGTGTCAATGCGTAAAAAGGGCGCAGAGGCCTTTGATCTGTAAATTCAGCGTCATCGAAAAAAAATATTTGTCAGAATGTAGTACCTACCTACCTTCAAATACCAAATAGGTACCTGCTGCCGAATCGGTGTAAAGGCACTACACAACGTTCTTGTCATCAATTCGTTAGTACCTACTATAATAACATTTATTTACAAAATTAATTTCCTTTTAAAAGAAGTTATGTATGAAATACGAGAAATTTTAAGTAACATATAAGTACTTAATAACGCAGTCTATCCTACAAGAAAAGAGTGAAGTTCAGCATAATTTACGCAAAACTGAACCTTATCTCTTAGGTCGTGGGTACTAGTTTCTTCTACCAGCAGCTTCGCCCGCTATACCAGGATAAAAGTGCCTATGTGGTTTGGACTATAAATCTATCTCCGCCAATTTCCTTTGAAATACCTACCTAGTGATAATTGTTCAGTAATTTTATGTGAAACATCTATTCATACTTTGCAACTTCCGAATTTTTGATATTAGCAGTATTAAAAAGTATTAGGCTTACAGAAACCGCGAGGAGATATCTACAAACGTATTGGAAGATGTAAAGATCCTGGTAGTGGCTGGCCCACAAAATGCATTCACTGATGATGAGCTATCGTCTCTCAAGCACATGGTGGAGAGGGGTGACTCCGTGCTGGTAGCCATGTCGGATGGAGGAGAGGAACGGACTAATACAAATATCAATTTCTTTTTAGAGGAATTTGGGATTGTTGTTAATAATGGTGAGTTGGTTTAACCTGCGTATATACGTATCTAAGTAAAATATAAATTATATAAGGTAATAAAAAGCTACCTATATTGCTTTTGCACAAAAGATCGAAATTAATGAAGCACATATTCTGCTGTAATCCTAAAACTCTTTCCATTTCTACCAGCTTAGTATAAACAATTGGGTAGTTTCCTAGGTCAAAAATAAATTAATTTGACGTTTCAATACAATAAAATATTGGAAAAATAACTATACTTTTATTCATCGATCGATCGATACACTAAGTTTTAGATAAGTTATTTGACGCAAAAATACTATGACGTCATACCTCAGTTTTTCATACAAATTTCATAGAAAAGTATCGTTTTTGACATTTGGATAAAAGTATTCAATTTGACTAGTTGGAAACTACCGTATTGTTGGTTGGCATAAAGATAAAGATAAATAATTAAATAAACACAATAATTAATCTAGCCCTAAGATCTTTCGCGACGTATTTCAGATTGCGTGGTGCGAGCCAAATACCACAAATTCTACCACCCGAAAGAATGCCATATCTCCAATGGTATACTGAACCGAGCCGTCACCAAGTACCTGATGAAGATGCCCAACTACAGCAGCGAGTCTGATGATTTTCTGTAAGGTTCTTTTTGTAATTTATTGACATGAAGTGAAATAGCTAGATGTAAGAAAGCCTATTAGGGGCATTTCCGACGATAATCGTTATTACTGAGAATATTTCGGATGGCGCCATTGAGCTTACTGGAGTGACGATATTAGCAAATATTCAGCAGGTTGTTCGTTTTGAAGAGACAAGATCTAGTTCAGATGCCTTTATTTAGTAGTGAATGGGGACAAGCTGAAATGACAATATGATATGACGGCAAACGAGCAGACAGATTACCAGATGGTAAGCAATCAGAGCCGCCCATAAGTGTCTATGCAACAAAAAAAAAGTTGTAAGTTTAGGGATACGACAGGGATGAGTGGAGGTGAAGGATTGGGCCACCCGTAACCTCACTCACACGGCGAAACAAAACGCTTTGGTTGATTCACGGCTTTCTGTGAGGCCAGCATCACTTCATTCACGGTCGAGCCGACGTCGAAACACGGCTTTCCCACACTTCGGGCAACACAACAGTACAGTCTAATTCATTTTTCAGTGAAGAACCGGCCACTCCAAACTTCGTCTACCCATATGGAGCTACAATGACGGTGAAGAAGCCAGCTGCAGCCATTTTGTCCAGCAGTGACGTATGCTATCCTGTCAAAAGACCAGTGGCTGCGTTATATGTTTCTGAAAAGACAGGAGGTATGATGCTTCAGTTATCTTCTTTAATAAAAGTTTTAGAAGAAGACCATAGCACTAATAAACACGCAGACCAAAACAGTTGATCCTGTATAATTTCTTGTTGGCCGGTATATGAGACTCAATGGAAAATACATTGTCTCTCGCGTATATCTGTGTCTGTCTGTAAGTGTGGGAGAGCCATGCTTCGGCACAAATGGGTCGGCTCGACCGGAGTGATACCACGGCCTCACAGAAAACCGAAAACAACCACATCGTTGCGTTTCACCTTGTGAATGAGGTTACCGGTGGCCCAATCCTTCCCCTGCCCAAATCCCATACCCCCAAAAGGTCGGCAACGCACTCGTAACTCCTCTGTTGTTGCGGGTGTCTGCTCGTTTGCCGACCATTCACATATAAAAAAACTACGCTTTGGCATTTCACGGGTTAGACAAGATTTTACCAATGCTGCAATGAAATGGTCTCTAAATATTTTTCAAATATTTTTTTGTAATAATTCACCTGCCTACGCTGATTATGTATGCCAGAAATTACATCTTGAGCTTTTAAACATTATCACGCGTCACCCATGAACCCATAGGAATTACAAGTGATCTTTCTTATAAGCACATAAAATTTTCTCAACGAGTTCTATCAGGTTCGAACCAAAAGAGGATTTTTTTTGAACTATTAACAACCTTAAAAGGAGCTCAAAAGGCAGGTGCTTTACCTGGAACACCTACATCCGTCTTGGTTAGCGTCTGTCAAATATGGGCTTGTGGACGTTGATAACTCAAATCCCATCCATGGAATTGCCGGCCCTCAGAAATTGTTGGAGGCGTCGGTTCTGCTAATACCTGGTGAGGGGCGGGCCGGACGTTTTCATCTGCGTCGCCCATGGACGCCTTTGCCAATAGAGGAATATATACCGTGGGAGAGCCATGCTTCGGCACGAATGGGCCGGCTCGACCGGAGTAATACCACGGCCTCACAGAAAAACTGTCGTGAAGCAGCGCTTTAGTTGTGTTTCGTCAAGTGAGCGAGGGCACCGGAGGCCAAACAGTTTTGGCTTTTAATTTAAATACGTATTAATATTTCAGGTAAACTCTTCGTAATTGGTTCAGGACACTTCTTCGCTGATCAGTACCTTGAAAGCGAATGCAATGACCTGATTAGGGAGATGATATTCAATTACCTCGGAGGTGTGACTGATCTGCATCTTAATCCGGTTGACGTTGAGGATCCTGATGTGAGTTATGCCTCAATCTTTGTCAATACAATTAATTTTGACTTTGTGCAGGGATACTTTACTTCAGAAGTATAGCTAGTAGTAGGTATGTTTCGTTGGTCCAGGATTGAAAATTACCTTAAACTAGCTGCTCTCGCACGATTTCACACGCTGCTCGGCTCCATTTGATCGTAGCGTGATGTTTTATAGTTTATAGTAGGTACCCAGGAACATTGCAGGTATCTATCAGTAAAATAATTTTGGAAATCCGACCAGTGTTTCTAAGGATTACCCCTACATACCAACTGACAATTTTTACCTCTTTATAATATTAGTAGGTATACAATAGACTTCAAACATGGATCTTCTTGAAATCGCTAATTATTTCAAGAAGATTTTAAACCTAATAATCAATGTTCAACACTTGAATGGACTCGTCTGTCTTTGAACAGAAACTAGAACTAAAAACATTATTGCCTTGCAATAATGTTTTTAATAAAGAAAAGTAAGTGACGGTAGTATGTACCTATAATTATGCATTGACTATTATCGCATTGGAACCAAAGTTATCGACATAGCTTGTAAAATCTGCTAGCTGAAGTGGCACAGGGTAGGCAACATCTATCATAGGCCCGACAGCCAATGGCACCAAAAAGTGCACGGACCACGGACCAGAAGACGGAGCGTGGGCATTGCTAGTTGAACAACGTTGTCGAAATCGCGGGGAACTAATGACGCAAGTTGCGTTTTGCTGATCTACATAGAGGACTTTAATTTGCGCGGGAAAAAGGGAACGATGCAATACGTCAATCAAACTCGCTAATCTGTGGCACACTAATTTTTTTTTTTTAAATAGGCGGGAACCCGCGGTACGCTGCCCGCGTATGTCATTCCAAACATTACGGTGCGCGTTCGTCGCTAGGTTTACCAACCTAACAAGGACTAAGGGAGAGGTCTTTGTTCAGCAGTGGACATCTTCCAACTGATGATAACCATGATAAACTCGGCTGCCGTGCAACGTGTCGCGGGTTCGATTCCCGCACGAAACAACTCTTTGTGTGATCTACAAATTGTTGTTCCGGGTCTGGGTGTCATGTGCACGTGTTTTGTATGTTTGTAACCGCCCCACGACATAGGAGTAAATCTTAGTGTGGCGCAACGTTTTTAAAAAACTGATTATGTATCTAAAAAGGTACATTACCTTTTTAATAATAATGTATGTCCCCAGATAAATGAGTACCGTACACTAGGCGACATGATGTGGCTGAGCACTATCCCGCTCCCGGAGCCAGCCACCGCGCCCCCGCCCCGCCTTACTCCGCTGCATCCACATGCTCTGTTTACGTGGAGACTTTTCTCTTTGAACCTGGCTCAATGTAAGTTTTACAAAAGTATTTTGTGTCGTTTTAGAAATGAATAATTATTCTCTTTATCGAGTAATGATAGGTATGCTAAATCAATGCTCAAGTTACTAATTAAAGTGGTGAATAATACAACTTTTTAGGAGGTTAATACTTTTCAAAAAAAAAGAATTTAAACCACTGCTCTCGTCATTTACCGGTCTTCCTCTACATAGAGAGGAATAATTTTGATGTTATCAATAAGAATAACTAATTTGAACTAGTATATACCATTGAACCAATTTAATTGATTTGACTGCAAGGTTGGGGAGGTGACTGGGCAACCCGCTACCGCGCAACGAGTCGAGGTTTCGATTCCCGCACGGAAAATTATTGTTTCGGGTCTGGGTGTCGTGTTCGTGAAATTGTTAATAATGTTATTATAACCGTAATTTTTAAGAAGAAAAAGAATAGTATAGAATGTCTACGGCATTAAGTCCGCCTATGTACAGAAATTTGTGTGCATAAAACTTAATAAATAAATAGTATGTTCAATGTACCTACTTATTTATATAACTGTTAAAGATAAAGACTGATGATTTCAGTGCCCGAAGTACTAGGATTGTATGATGCACTTGGAGTTAAACACGAACCTCTTCGATTGATCGCGCCGCAGTTTGAGACACCATTCCCTCCGCTGCAATTGGCCGTAAGTTGTAACTTGTAAGAAAAAAATATTATAATATTAAACGTTCCGCGCATGCCTTAAAGACACATTAGATCACATACAGGACCCACTAGGGCTGATATCCAGCTGCGGTTGCGGGTGCAATAATTAATAGTTATATAAAAAATAAGGCCCAATCCCTCCCCATTCTCAATCCTCAATTTTCTATCCTTTAATCCCTGATATCCCACCAGAGGCCGCCAATGCACTTGTAGTAAGTAAGTTTGGTATAATGAGTGTCCGTGGGCGGCGTAGAATGCTTACCATCAGCTAATCCGTGTGCTCGTTTGCCGATGGCCTGGTTAGGAGCAGGACAAGGAACAGGGTGGCTTTTAGTCAGCAAGAGCCTTCCAATCGCTTCCAGCTTCCAGCCCACCATTTTCCACTTTAAAAAATGTCAAACAAAAAGAAAAAACAAAGACAAAAAGAATATCGTGAGAAAACTTTTTAAACACATCGAAAATCACCAATCCGTTTTGGGCAAGCTTAGTGATGGTGGTGAGAGCTTGTTTTTTTATGGTAAGGGCTTTTTCCGTGACAGGTTCATCTTCTGTGGGAACAAGGTAACCTATTAGATTTCACGAATGTACCAAGACTTCAAGAGACAAACTCCCTGTCTGTCATCTAGTCTTTTCTTTCAATACTTTAACAATTTCCTACAGGTATTCCCACCAACGTTTAGAGAGCCACCTCCTCCACCGCTGGAACTGTTTGACTTGGACGAAGCATTCAGCTCGGAGAGGTCACAACTCGCCAGGCTTGCCAACAAATGTCTGCAACCACATTCATCGCGGATGGCACAAGGTATTGTAACCTATTGTATTCATTAAGAAATGTAGGAATCTGAATTGCCTTGTAGTTAGAAAGAATCAAGTTCGTTTCAAAGACGGTATGTGGCGAACTGGCGACGCACATAGTAACGACAATGTTAAACAGATGGCGTAACAAGTCCTACATGAATGATGGAAAAAAAGAAAGAATACACATTTATGTACGCGTATGATACACAGACAAACAAAAATTATAGTAATTATAGTAAAGAAAGTACAAAACAATAAATATGCAACACTCCTGCGTGAAACGGCCCTCGCTCAGAGCCTCGCTCGTGCTGAACTTTAAGCCTCGGCGCTGATTTTCAGCGAAAGACGAAACTGTGAAGACGTCCCTTGCAGTATTTAATAAATATAAACTAAAATCAACTTCAAATATAATAAACACTTTTGCAACACTTGGATTACGAGCTGATTTGGTTTTGTCTATGCCAAATATGTGTCATGAGGCAAATGAAGTTTGCGCGCGAAAAACCACGGATAGAAAATCCCAACGTACCACTGACGTTAACTGACTGACCTTGCCTGGGCCTCAAGTCTGCTATTTCCAAAATATTGTGATTCCAACACGACTCCATTGCAATTTTGCAAAAATTTCGTAATCTGCTAAATTCATAATGGCCGACCATCGGCCGGTCAGTGGTATCGTAATAGAATTGTAGTAGAATGACACTGTCGTGTTGTCATTATGATAAATCTCGTTAGCAGAAGTGATTTTCGGAGGATGCTCCTTTTCCGATCTTAAGGAACTTAACTTTCTGTTCCATAAAGATGCAATATTAGGTTTTTTATAGTTATTCATTAACTTAGTCTGACGGCGTTATTGCAATATTGTGTATTACTTAAACTATAACGAAATAAAACCACTTTTTTAAAGAAACATTTCGATTGCGTTATATGTTTTAAAACATTTTCTTCTTGCAGGCGACGGCCGTCAACTAGAAAGTGAGTTGGAATATTTCGTCAGAGAATGTGGCAGAGTCGTCAGATTGTCCAAAGCCGTACCCACAGACGAGGGCCCCGCTGGCAAGCTCATACTGCATCAACTAGCCGTACAACTGGCCACATACAAGAAAATAGCTCCCAGAGATTAAGAAGCAGATTCTAGTCTTACACATTTTCCATCTAAACTGCTCCCATGTATGTGGATGTAGTCCTGGTATCTGCTCCAATTTTCTATTAAATCCTTTAGTACTTTTTATAAGTTTGGTAGAAAACACAACTGTTGCAGATTTTATGATTGTGCAGCAAATAAAGTAGACTGAATACGGTTGTAACATTTTTCAGCGACAAATAGGTACCTACAGCTAAAAAGGTTACAGCTAGAAGTAAAGGTTAAAGACTTTTAGGGAAATCCATAGTCCTGAAGTTCCTTGGGCATATATCTATAAGTGTGGATCTTTATGGAGTGGCTTGTGGTACAAGGTCACACAAAAGACACGAGACCACGAAGGCCGGCCTACGACTCGCTGGATCGACCTGATAAAAAACACTACGAAGTCGACCGCAGTATAGTGAACTCGCAACGCTCAAAGTGGAGAGACATCGCTCAACGTGCTGTTATTGAAATGAAGGCCAACGGTAGGAATCCATCCATTGATAGCCACGACCACTCTGTCAACAGTGTAACGACTACAAAGAGAGAATAAAACACAAATAATGTTTCCGATAATAAACCTTGCAAGAAGAAGAAGGCACGTCAAGTTGTCTTAAACACAACTAAGAATAAAAATCCCGCTTTCTCTCTCTCTCTTTCTCTCTCTCTCATACTCTATCAACTAGAAGGAAATAGCAAATAAAATAAATAAGCAAATAGCATAATATGATGAACCAGCGCATTGAGTTTTCGTCATATAAGTGGGTAGATTTTACTCTAAACTCCTCTGGTTTATGCAGACTTAGTATGAAAACGAAAATAAGTAAATGATTCTGAAAATTAACTGAGAAAAGCTTTACTATTTTCAAGTAATTTATTCTCACAGTGTCTATATTTTTTATTTTATTTCATGACAGTATTGTTTTTATATGGCAAATAAAAAATACGTATACGGCAATGGTATATCGGTTTTGGGACCTAATAAAATTAATTTTATTGTAAACAATCTTGGCATGTCTCTTTATCTAAAATTTGTCTAAAAATAAGATATAAAAATGTTTACAATAAGGTATATACTAAAACCGATGTTAGCTAAGAAACTAAATTTAAATAATATTTGTAGGTATCTTATACGACCTCTTTAGTATCTTTAAAATACTAGCGGTCCAACCCCGCTTCCCACGGGTTCACCTATCTCGCTTAGAACAAAATGTAATAACGATATACTAAGATTCTTTACTAATAGTTTTGTTTTTTAATTTCATACCCTGTTATAATATCTATTGACCTTAATCATATGTTACTGTATCTGAGTGACATAAGTGTTGAGGTTGCATAGCACTAGTGAAAAGCTCTTTGGTACATTGCTAGGCAACTAACTGTTAGAAAAATTTAATGTCACTCGTGAATAAAAAGAAGATCATGTCGAATGTGTGCAATATATAAAACTAAATAAATAAACAAATAATCTAAATATTTTGTAACCAAATAAACCTAAATTATCGCTATAAAGTGTCAGTGTTGTCATACTAGAGAAAACCCCTACTATCTAGCCGAAATCTAAAGTGGGAAATACATCGATCACGATTTGGTCTCCGGAGCTTCCAGATTGGTAAGAAAATAAGTAGACCATATTTAATAGGTATTGGGACCCACCACCACTGGACGACTGAAAAGTGCCATGGATTTCTCAACGAAATTAGAGATCGGAAAACTAGAGGGCAAAAACAATTGGCAAACATGGAAGTACAAAATTTCAGTCATGCTTGAGGGTACGGAAGGTGCTTTAGAAGCAGTAGAAAATAGACTTCCAATGCCAGTTTTACCACCTGGTGCAGGAGATGCTGCTCAAAGCACTTATAATGCTGCAATGGCTAAATATAAGAGGACTCAAAGCGGTGCACTCCTGATGCTGACAACCAATATGACTGAAGAAACGTTAAAGAAGGTTATGCGTTACAAAACAGCACACGAAGTTTGGGCAGAACTGCATCGACTTTTTGATAGGCAGACAGAGGACAGGGCTTACAACTTGTGTCTTGAATTCTTTGGGCTAAAACGGGATCAAGAGGATGATATTCCTACACTTCTGTCAAAGCTAAAGAATTTATGGAACGACCTAGTAGTGGAGATCCAGAAAGTAGACGCAACAGCTAAGCTGCCTGATCTATTCCTTATCTGCAAGGTTTTACATACTCTGGATGACAGGTATTTTAATTTTAAGTCGAGCTGGTTAATGCTGAAGCAGTCTGAGAAAACGATCGACAGTCTTACGAGTCATCTCTGCGCATTTGAAAGAGATTTAGGTGGTCCAGAGAGCACCATCCAAAAGGAAGCACTGGTGACTACACCTGCAGAGCAAAAGAGTAAGCACAAGAAGGAGAGAAATGATCTGAAATGTAACTACTGTTCCGGTAAAGGACATAGAGTTAGACAGTGCAAGAAATGGATAAAGGATGGAAGACCACCAAAGCCAAGCACGTCACATTCAGACATTAAATCTAACCAAGTGCAGAACTTATCGCTGATGGTGAACGCGTGCACAGTTAATCAAATACAAGATAAAGAATCTTGGTATGTTGATAACGGAGCAACCACGCACATAGCCGTTTCAAGAAAGATGTTTACGGATTTTCGTGAATTCGATTCAAATCACACAGTAACTACAGCGGATGGGACTGTGATTCCTGCAGTTGGAATAGGTTCTATTAAAGTTGAATCCAAGGTCAACGAAACTAAAGTCCATATTACTCTTGAAGAAGTCTGGCTAGTACCATCACTCACAAAAAATCTCTTTTCACCGTTGGCGGCACAAGACAGAGCGCAGAACAGTATTTTTACATCAACGACAAAAAAATGCAAGTTGGAAATTGAAGGCATGACTAAAGTCGATGGCAGGAGGATCCCAAAGGGAGGCCTTTACAAGTTGGACTTTAAAACGGTAATTCCAACAACACCGAGAGCTATACAGGTAAATGCTGTCACCGGTTCCAATATGCTGCAGCTCTATCATGAGCGTTTTGCACATCAGGACAAGCGGCATGTAATACGCGTCGTAAAACGTGAATTAGGCGTGAACCTCAAGCCTGATAATATTAAATGCGAAGGCTGCATATATGGAAAGTCCCAAAGACAGACCTTTGGAACCAGGGAAAGAGCTACTGTATGTGGAGAGCTAATCCATACAGATGTATGCGGTCCTTTTGCACCAAGCATAACTAAACTCCGGTACTACGTATTGTTCAAGGACGACTACTCAGGCTACCGTATGGTTTACTTCATACGTCAGAAGTCAGAAGTCAAGGACAAGTTGCTGCAGATGCTGAAAGAGGCAAAGAATGCTGGGCATAATGTGAAAACCTTGCTTAGTGACAACGGTGGCGAGTTTGATAATAAGGACGTCAAGAAAATACTACAGGATTTTGGTATACAGCACAGACTGACAATGCCTTACACACCGGAACAGAACGGGTGTAGTGAGCGTGAGAACCGAACCCTGGTAGAGGCCGCGAGAAGTATGATGCATGCAAGGAATGAGTTACCGCAAATTTTGTGGGCGGAATTGATTAATACCGCAGCGTATGTTCTGAATAGAACAGGCCCAAGTCGAGTGACAGACAAAGTTCCATACGAACTATGGCACGGCAAAAAACCTCGAATATCACACCTCAAGGTTATTGGTAGTGAGTGTTATGCACATATCCCAAAGCAGAAGCGTAACAAAATGTCTAAAAAAGCCATGAAAGGCATTCTTATTGGCTATGAAAACGACGATGGATATCGTGTGTGGGACGGACATCAAACATTCAAATCCAGAGACATAACTTTTCAAAGTAATGTTGAATTCACATTACGGTTAGGGTCTGAGGATGCTACTGATACTACTGAGCAAGATGATGATGGAGAGTTTGTCGATGCTGAAGGGGAAGAGAATTTTCCGGCTGAAGGGGAACAGCAACCTCTTGACATAGTTGAGCCTCTGAGAGTAGAGGTGCCTCGACTAGAAGGGGAAGAAGAGGAAATTGTAGTCGAGCCCCTGAGAGATGAGCCCCAGAGAGAAGAGGAACCTAGATATAACCTTAGAGACAGGTCAACTCTTGCTCCCCCTAAGAAGTTCGATGACTACGTCTGCTTTGTAGGCACAGAAAACTTTCCAGAGAGCTACCATGAAGCAATAAGTAGAACTGACGGTGCGGAATGGCGGAAAGCCATGGCCAGCGAGCTTCAGTCACTCAAGGAGAATAATGTATGGACACTGTGCGAGCTCCCGTCTAATAGAAAGGCGCTACCATGTAAATGGGTTTTTCGGATTAAACGACACCCAGATGGAAGCATAGACAAATATAAGGCGCGATTGGTCGTTAAAGGGTTCAGACAACGGAAAGGGCTAGATTATGAGGAGACATATAGTCCGGTAGCCAGGATGTCTACCATTAGAGCTCTTTTAAGCGTTGCTGCACAAGAGAAACTTCATTTAACACAATTTGACGTCGCGACAGCCTTTTTAAATGGGAAATTAGAGCAGGAAATATACATGTCACAACCTCCTGGCTTTTCTGATGGCTCTTCGAAAGTATGCAGGCTACAGAGGAGTCTATATGGCCTAAAGCAAGCTCCTCGTTGCTGGAACATGTGCATTGAAGACATTCTGTTGCAAAAAGGATTCACACAGAATGAAGCTGATTGTTGTCTCTTTACAAAGACAGAAGGGGGCAATAAGATTTTGTTGGCGTTGTACGTGGATGACGGACTCATGGCCACTACAAGCGAGGCTTTGGCAACTAAATTTTTGAAGGAGCTGGGACAAGCTGTCAAAATCACAAGCAAGCCGGCTTCGTATTACCTTGGCCTTGAAATAGAACGTTCCAAGGATGGATCTATATTTATAAGCCAACAAGCTTATACGCGGAAGATCCTCGAACGCTTCAATATGATTGACTGCAATCCCGTCTCTACACCAATCGAAACAGTGACTTCAGAAACAGGGAAAGCACCTGA